GGCAGAGAAACGCTGCCTTGGGCTTCCTGTAGTCAGCTGCTGGTCAATTTCAGCAGCGGCTGAATCTGGACGCCAGTTCCGACTTAAGTACAAATTCAACTTAAGTACAAACCTACAGTCCCTATCTTGTACGTAACCCGGGGACTGCCTGTAATTCCTTAGGGTATGTCTACACTACCCTCCTAATTTGAACTAGGAGGGTAATGTAGGCATACCGCACTTGCTCGTGGAATGAGGAGTACAGCTAGTTCGGATTAGGAAGCCTAATCCGAACTAGCTACTCCGTGCCGCGTGTAGCCGCGCGGTATGGGGTTCGAACTAGCCGGGATTTAAAAATGGCGGCGCCCGGCTTATGCAAATGAAGCCCGGGAAATTCAAATCCCGGGCTTCATTTGCAAGTGCGGTATGCCTACATTACCCCGCTAGTTCGAACTAGCGGGGTAGTGTAGACATACCCTTAAGAACCACAAAATATTTGAAACCTAGAATTATAAAGTGAGGGTTCCACAAACAATTTTAGCTCTAGCTATGTAGTATGTGTCATTCCAGATGATTGCTTTTCACTTTACACTTACCAAGCTACTCATACACACTTCCAGTATTGTCCTTTCAGCTATCATGATATAAAAGCAGAAAAGATATTGAAGAAAAAAGATTTAGCGCATACCCTTAATATTTGAGTAACCTGATTTTCATTCTGGTTCATAGTGGAAATATTATATCAACTACACATTTATCAGTCACTACGGTGTACAATCTATACAGATATAGAAGCCACCATCACATCAATGCTTTGTCTTCACTACAGAATTAATTCTGGCTCTCACATGGATTTTAACCCAATACAGGCAGTCCCCGACTTACGTCGGATCCGCACTTACGAACGGGGCTTTCTTGCCCCGGAGGTCGAGGTGGCGGATTGCTACCTGCGAGCTCTGGGGCGAGAAAGCCCCGTTCATAAGCTGCTCCGGTGCCCCTGGTCTGCTGGAGACCGTCCCCAGCAGACCACAGGCACCGGGACTGAAGCTGCAGCCGCGGCGGGATCCCGCGCCTCTGAGACTTTGCCAGAGCAAAGC